CTCCCCTGCTCATGCTCTGTCTCTCCCTGTCTCAAAAATAAAAACACTTAAAAAAATAACAAAAATAAAAACTATGAAAAATAATTTTTTAAATAAAAATAAAACTAAACACGATGAGCAGGGACACCTGGGTGGCTCAGTCGGCTGAGTGTACAACTCTTGATTTTAGCTCAGGTCATGATCTCACAGTTTGTGGGATCGAGCCCTGTATTGGGCTATGCATAACAGCACAGAGATTGCTTGGGATTCTCTCTCTCCTTCTCTCTCTGCCCCTCTCCCACTCCCACTCTCAAAATAAATAAACATTTTTTAAAAATGACAAGCAAAGCAAAGAAAACAATGCAGTCCATAAATCGCAAGTGGAAGGGGCAAGCTTGAAAAAATGAAAAGAGGAAGAAAAAAAAACCACCAAAATCTGATCCAAAATTAAAATTTCAGTTAGCACCAAATGTGGTGAAAACCCTAATAAATCCAAGAGCAAACTCTATTGTGTTTTCTCCCAATTAGTTAGCAGTAATCAAACCGCCACAGCCCTACATTGGGCTCTGCCAGTGCCTGGCCATATGTTAAGTGCTTCAATGCATGCATTTGTTTGATGCTCACAACAACATTGTGATGAAGGGATCATGCTCACCATTTTACAGATGAGAAAAATGAGGCTCAAGGAGATGTACAATTTACGCAAGGACACATATCTAGTAACCGGCAAAGGTTTGATTCAACGTGCATTATATTAACCATGATGCTATAACTGCCTCTTCTCAAGCTTCCCTGAAAGAACATTGTAATGCGCCATCCAAAATATGAGATGATTTGTTATTATTATCATTATTGTATGTAGTGCATTGACAATGTGCTTCTGAGAGCAAATCAGGTGTTGAATAAAGTCCTCATATAGATAAGCAATAAGCAGAGAAGATATTAGCTTAATGAATGTTGAAAGAGTAAGACTACTTAAGAGAGCACTTGAGCATTGCCTGGTAGCCTGTGGAATAAGTTTGAACTGTATTTTATTTCTACTTTCCATCAGAAATGGAAAGGAAACACATTGACCTGTCAGTCTAAAGCCTCTTCCTAATGATTTAGCATCAGAAATATTACTCAAAGTATCCATGGAGGTTGTGCCAAGTACTCTTGAACTGAGTCAAGAAAGCAGTTTTAAACCTGTTACTACCTTGAACTGTTTGAACAGTAACCATTCATTTCAAAAGGAGCTTGAGGATCGATGTAAACTAAAAATGTGTACAGTGTGAGATCTGGAAGGAACCAATGGGATCATTCAGCCTGACTCTCCACTTTAATTGAGGCCCAACCTAAACTTCAGTTTTTCAAATTCACTGCCCAGGGTTCTTTCCTCTTAGGCCAAATTACATCCTTCCATGGGGAAAAAAATGGGAACCAATAAAGACTGAAGTCCTCTCACGTGCTAGGCGCTTTACACGTTACCTCATTTTCTCTGTAGTTTACAGACATATTATATTAGCTAATAATCTAATTATTTTATAGGAAAATAATATGATAAGCAGAAAAAAGTTAAACGAAATCCATTAAGTGTAAGCGGCATAAAGTATGGAAATGTCTGAATTCTTAGCAACCAGGCAAATTCAGTCATAGTCTTAGTAAGTTAACTCCTCAGACACTTGTCACATAGGAGGCTTAACAGTAGGAAGATATGGAGACACTGAGCAGAGAGGGGGAGATATCAGGCAGTGACTGAAAAAGATCTCGAAGCTGAATGATCACAGTAAAGGCCCCTGCATTGGTCATTCAGTGTAACTTATCTTCAGGCTCACTTGCAATTACTTGTTCCAAGTCTACCTTGCCCACTAGACTGCATGCATCTTTCTCAGCTGCTGTTATATGCTCAGAACCTTCTAGGACACTGGCATATACCAGGCATTCAGTAAACATGTTAACTGAAGTGAGTATCTGCATGAGTGAGTGCTTACTGAACGAATCAGTGTCAAAGGAGAGGGTATGTCAATCAACCCGGCCCATGTTTGAAAATGGTGCAAGAACCAGTGAAAACTAGGAAATATTTTACCTCTTTGTTCTCATAGCTCTCCACAGCAAAATCATTTTTAACCACAATGTACCGCTCCTTCCACTTCTTTATGTCTTCAGCAAACTGTGATAGCTCTGCTTCATACAGAACAGTTCCAGGCTCCAGTGGTGGCTTTAAATAAGGTGAATATGATTAATTATTACAACAAATAACACAGCATGCTACCAACTAAGTCTGTGCATGGCAGTTCAAGGACTATTTTAGGAAACTATCTTGTGATAGTTGAGATCTTGTGAGATCCTGAGAAAATTGTTGCTTCCCCACCTCCCTCCACACTTCCCCTTCCTACTCCCTCTGACCAAATGCAAATATTTGTCTTATTGATATTTTTGTGACTTCCATTTCCCTCCATTAGGCTACAAGAAGAGAAGTAGATGGTAGAATCGGGATTATAGGAATAAGGTTGTGCTTTGTATATATGTGGCACTTAATGAATCTGTCATAAACTCCAGAAGAGAGGGAGTGAGGTAGTTAAGTGTGAGTTGTGGCTATCTACCCCAACACCTTGAACATGCCCAAAAATAGGAGATTTAAAAGGCTGCTCCCCTATTCATCACACTGTCAGGTGTAATCTTGAGGGTCAGTGTTCAATGGGCTTCCCAGATCCAAAAGCCCTGGGGATCCTGGCTGTAAACACATCCCCATGCTCCTCAAGGAGACCTTGTTTGCCCTCTGGCTGAAGATCGAGCAGGCAAGCCAGCAAACCTCAGTTCTACCTTTGTACTTAAGTAAAAAGTTTGAGGATTTATCCTTAACCCTGGTGACATATGTGCTGTAGGGGAGTCTCTGTTAGATTCTTAGTTAGGTCTCCCTTTGGGTTAACTGTGTAGGGAATAATTCACATCCTGTCTCATGGTATAATTCCTGTATTATCTCAGAATATAGGAATGGGCCTCCTGTCTTGCACATGTCACTGAATTTACATCTATTTTCCCTTTATTAAAAAAATCAAAGTGCCTCTAGAAACGTATCCCTCCACTTTCAAGCAAAATTTACATGAACCGTATGGAGAAGATAGATATGCTAATCTTTGTAAGAATTGGCTAAGGGATGAATTAAATTGCCTTCTGAATTTATTCTGTCCTGACAGATAAAGAGGCAGTTTCCTATCTTGCCTCATTAACAGGTAAGAGAGAATCTCACTTTTCTCTTTAAATGAGATTGAACCGATATATAGGCTGAACTCTATAGTTTTATGTGCATTTTTTTTAACCTGGGCCGCTTAAATCAATTGATATGCTTGTTAAAATGTGGCCTTACTCTAGACTTACTATATCAGAATCTCTGGGGGTTATGGACCAAACTTTGCGTTTTTAACAAACTTCCTACATTGTGAGTAACAAACTCCCTAAAAATCACTGTTTTATGGGGATAACACTCAGTTATCCCTACACACTCATGTGGCTAACTCTATTGGTCAATTCACTCAACCTCTCAGCAGTATCTGACCTGTTTATCACTCCCTCTTTCTTGTAAGCCCTTCTTCATTGGCCTTCTGGCACATTCCTCTTTCCTGATTTTCTCCTCCTGCACAGACTATTTCTTGTCCGTCCACCTTGCTGGATCCTTTTCCTTTTCTAGGGCTTGGTTGTGGAATATCTTCTTTTCTCTATTGATACTCTCCCTTATTATGTCCCATGGCCTAATACCAGTTATAAGCTAACAGCTACCAAATATCTATTCTTTGGTTTCTACCTCTCCACTGAGCTGCAGATGAGAGAATTCAACTACCTATTCAATATTTTCATGGTTGTAAATCAAATAACCATCTCAAACTTACATGGTCAAAAGAGAACTCGTGATTCCCAAGTCCAGTTTGCCTTCACCCTTCTCTTGCCCTGCTACCGGCTCCTCCTTACCAGTCTCCAAGTTCCTTTCTTATCCCTCTCCATAGTCTATTCACTGCAGAGACGCCAAAGAAGTCGCCTAAAATTGTAAGTCACTTTGTATTCAATACCCTCCAATAACTTCTCTTCACATTTAAAATAAAAACACTTGGGGTGCCTGGGTGGCACAGTCTGTTAAACATCTGACTCTTGATCTCGGCTCAGGTCATGATCTCACAGGTTCATGAGTTCAAGCCCTGCACTGGGCTGTATGCTGAGGGCATGGAGCCTGCTTGGGATTCTGTCTCTCCTTCTCTCTGCTCCTCCCCCACTTGTGCACTCTCTCTCTCTCTCTCTCTCTCTCAAAGTAAATAAATAAACTTAAGAAAAAAAAAAAAAAGAAACCCTTATCACAGTCTACAGCTCCTACATGGTCTGGTCTTTCCCTTTCACTCTGTAGTCATTTATCATCCCTTGTCTCTTGCTCACACTGCTCTCAGCACATAGCCTTCCTGATGTGCTTATGGCTCCTGCAGGGCCTTTGCACTTGTTGCTCCTTATCCCACAGATATTCACCCAGCCTACCTACTCTTATTTCACTTGAGTGTCTGCTCAAATTTCACCTCCACAGGGGGCTTCTCTGACCATCTTCTCTAAAATAAGACTTCTGCTTTATTTTTCTTGGAAGCATTCATTAGCACCTGATATCCCCTGATATAGGTTTATTTATTTGTTTACTGTCTCCTACTTTTGAATATAAACAGGAAAGCAGAGAATTTGTCTTGATCCCCAATTTTAGAGTAGGGCCTGGCACATAGTAGGTTATCAATACATATTTGTTGACGTGTAGGTAATTATTATGATGGAGCAAGGGAGAAAGAGTAAGTTAGGGGATTAGAAGAGAAGATCACGGTTGATCAATGACCAAAACAAAAATGCCCATAGTCCAAGGCACTGAAATTATGACTTTTTTTTTATTGAACTCACTACAGCAAGTCCAATTTCCTGATATTAAAGCATCAGTGTGGGAAAAACAATAAAACTGACCATGCTAGGTTTCTTTTCGTATGGATTACACCATCAGCAAGGAATCACACATTCTAACTTCCAGGCAAATAACGTTTTTTGAGCATGAAATGATTTGAGAACAGATTTTTTTCTTAGGGACAGATTTTTTTGAACTGCCATTCAAATTACTATTTATTTCTGAAACATGGTATGTTATAAAGCATTCTTCAGTGGGGGATATTTGTCAACCAAATGTCCACGGGTTACCTTGGTCTTCAAAAATTGTGATGTTAAATCTCTTTGCTGTTCCACTTCACTGCGAACATGATTGCAGAAGGCCACAGAGTACTGACGACTATAGAAGGGACTAAAGTTTTTGATGGTAGCCTCAGTTTTCCCTAGAAAAAATAAGAAAATTAGAATTTAGAAATGTGGCATCTCTTACAAACTAGACACATATCTACCCCACTAGTACCACTGTTTACCAGGGATTTGTCAGTTCACATTTCCTGAGAACTTTGCAACATGCCATACGTGCCTATATCTCTCCCTCCCCTTCTGACGTCATCTTGAGAGTCTGTGCTGTCCCTAAGGACCATCCATCCAGTAACCAATAGAATTTTTCTTCATCTTACATCAACAACCCATTGCCTTGGCTATAAACTCAGTCATCCTTCTAAATCCCTATATGACTACCATTCTACCTTATCCGGCTCTCCACTCCAGCTTGTTCTTCACTCCCCTCTACCTCCAGTCATCCAACTCCCACGCAGTAATCCCAGGGGCCACCATTTCAACTCTGCACACACATCATTCCATTCTTCCTTCGATCCTTGAGGTTCCATCTCATCTCACTGACCCACAGCCCAGGATAAAATCGACCAACTGTTTCTTCTAGTTCTGCTCCTATGTTTCTGGTTTAAATTTTTTGTGTGACTCAAAGCCTTATATAATTACTATGAGGTAGAGGAAAACACTTTAAGAGTCCAGAGACCTGAGCTGTGGTCCCAATTCCAGGGAGACAGAAATCAGCTGGATGTCCTCAGTCAAGTCCCTCATTCTCTCCAGGCTCCAGTGTCCCTAACTATAAAGGAAAGTACTCACTAGTTCATGCTTTTCTTGAAATCTACATGACATTGAAGTACAACCCTGGAAGTACAGCTGCCTTACAATAGTGACCAACAACTGCATTATGATGACTTAGCACCAGAAGAAAATGAAGCTTAGGATCAATCATGGGGGGAAGAGGGGTAGTTTGAGGACTCAAGATGGAGAAAGAGGAGGGTCAGGCACTAGGAATATTCTTGAACTTTTCCAACCTGTGCTTATTAGCTTTAGAGAGTAGGTTAAGTTGCAAAGGAGGGAAAGGAGAAAAAGAAATAGGGGAGAAAAGGCAAAGGAATATTCCCAGACAGATTAGAAATCCTCACCTTTCAAGGACTTGCTACAAAGTAGAGAAATAAACACGGGTCTCACTGGCTGTGCTTACAAGCTGTTAGTCCTTGGAATAAGATATTATCTTGAGAAAAAAATTAATGTGCTATAACAATTCCAAAATATTTTAAAATATTTTCATGCGAGCTTTGCATAATTTTTGTTTTCAAATTTGATATAGTCACAGAGAAATATTAAAATATACTGGCAAGATTTGTTTAGAGCTATTATGCATATAAAATTTCAAAAATAAGTGAAGAGTTCTAACCACATAGATTGAGATACTCAATATGAGAACCTTGAATTCATAGCTGCCAACTTCTATATGTATGGAATCATAGCCCCAGACACTCATAGTGTATGAATACTCTTTCTATAGAGAATCCTACTTTAGATCAGGCATTTAGATCTACTCTGTATGAGGAAAGGGGGAGTTCTTCCTTATTCCCTCAATAAAATGATCTTTTTTGGTCATACTTATGGGCTTTAATAACTATTACTTGAAAGGTGTGTTGAGACCCACTAATAATAGGTTCTGTAGAAATGCAAATAAAAGCTCCTATAATTTGAATCAGCATGCTTTTGCTTGCTCTGTGAGTCTATGGTATTACTATTAATCAGTATTTGCATAATACTTTAATATACTTAGACTTTATAATTATCTAATTGGTTAATATTTTTTTAGCTTTTATATAGTGCATAAGAAATAAAATTCTATATCCTTGTCTATAATTTTCTTACATAGGAGTGGGATATCTTTAGGAATTCCCACAATGAGAATGAGCCTCACCTCACCGAAACATAGAAACAATTAACAAAATCTGCCCTTTGGGTCCAAGTGACCACTATTTTGTCTCGCAGAAGGGCAGCCTGCTAATTTATGACACTAATTTTTGCACTCTTGCAAGCACTTGGATTTAAATGAAAGAAGGTGGATGCCATTTTATGATGAGCTCTACAAAGCTTTGAAACTTGATTTCCTGCCACATCACAAAGCCTCAGTCAAGGATGCCCTGCCTCTACTGAGGTGTTATGATGCCACCACTCCCTCCCAATGTATGAGAAAAAATGCTTCTGTGATTTGAGTACCAACACATCTTCCACCAGGCAGCATTTATAAAAAAGGGACTACAGCTTTCTATGGTAATTAACCTAACGACTGGTTCAAAATGTGAATGAAACAGCTAACTATCATTAAGTTCTAGGGGGAAAAGAACCTCAAGTGATTCCCAAAATGTATCTCGATTTTAGATTAAGCCTATCTATTTTTTTTTTATAAGTTAATTGATGGGAAATTTTAACGTTTATTTATTTTTTGGGACAGAGAGAGACAGAGCATGAACGGGGGAGGGGCAGAGAGAGAGGGAGACACAGAATCAGAAACAGGCTCCAGGCTCTGAGCCATCAGCCCAGAGCCCGACGCGGGGCTCGAACTCACAGACCGCGAGATCGTGACCTGGCTGAAGTCGGACGCTTAACCGACTGCGCCACCCAGGCGCCCCTAGATTAAGCCTATCTAAACCCAAACAAAGGAACACCTAAGTAGGGATCTTGACATTTAAATAAAAGCCTGGTGTTGGGGCAAAACACCACTGTGGTTAGGAAAATGGACTCTGGAGTCAGACAAACATGGCTTTGGGTGCCATCTCAGCTACTCACCAGCAGTGGGGACTTATACAAGTTAACTCCCCTCCTCGTATAAAATGAAGACAGAGGAGAAATCTCATCATATTACTGAGAGCACACATGTACATGAGCAGGGGAGGGGCAGAGAGAGGAGGAGACACAGAATCTGAAGCAGGCTCCAGGCTCTGAGCTGTCAGCACAGAGCCTGATTCAGGGCTTGAACCCACAAACTGTGAGATCACGACCTGAGCCGAAGTCAGAGGCTTAACTGCCTGAGCCACCCAAGCGCCCCTGGATCTTGTCACTTCTATTCCCACAATATTTGTTGATCCACCCTGTTGCCCCCACCCAAACTAGTACAGCTTCAACACCATAAAAGTCTCTTAATCTGCCCTCAGTATTAATCACAGCAGAAACAAAACAAAACAAAAACAAAACAAAAAACTACCAAAAGCATACTAGCTCTCAGCTCCAAAAGAGGAACAAAAAAGTCAAAGGCAGAGTGGGAGTTGGGAATGCCAGTGCTGATACACAGAGCCTGGAGGATTATGGGAAATAAGCCAAAGCTTGGTCAGTGTGGCCAAGACAGATTCTGGGGAGTGGCCAGAGTGAGTCCAGGGCTGACGGAGCAGAACATGAGAGGCTGAGTCCAAGCTGGCCACCATGGTTCCTCTCACGAGAAAGCTAGCACAAGTTAACAAGGCCCAGACGGTAGGGTAGGAAATTGTCCTTCAGATCCAAGTCTTGCCCTTAATGCTCCCAGGGAACTCTTGAAAACCATAAGAGGCATTCCTCATAGTCATAGAGGTACAATCCTCTTGGTCCTGGTCTGACAAGTTTCATTTGACACGTTGCTACAAGATCATTGTCACTACCTTCATAAAAACTTCAACAGTTCCCCATTGCCCAGAGTAGTAACCACTTAGCCCAGTACCAAAGGCCCTGTGATCTGGCCCCAATTGTCTTTATTTTCTACCTCTCCTACTCAAATGAAATCTCCTTGTCCCCTGTACACGCCTTCACCTCTCCTTTCTCCCGCTAAACGCCCTGCCAGTCACTTTCAGATCCTTCAAGCCCAGATGGAAATTCCAACCCCAACAGAGGTTTTTTTGGCTCTCCCCAGGTGGAAACAATCTCACCTTTGTTTGTGTTCTCCCAAAACTGTGCTCCACTTTGCTACAGCTGTTTAAATATAGCTTATCTCTCCTCCAAGGGTATATACTGTATTTATGTACTTAGCAAATATTTGTTGAATGAATGAAAGAATGGTTGAGTAAATATTTAAGAATAAAGCAAAGTACAATGCATCATAATCTTGAAACCCATGCCAATGTCCCCAGAAAGGAGAAAGGCCCAATTCTCAGCTTGAATATTTGTTATTAAAAATATACACTTTCAAAGCTCAACTCATTTGTTTTTTCAAAAAAAATAAGACTCTTACTGATTAACTCCTTTTCAAAAAAATTTTTTTAATGTTTATTCATTTTTAAGTGTGAAAGAGAGCACAAACGGGGGAGGGAGAGGGGGGCGGGGAGAGACACAGAGTCAGAAGCAGGCCCTGGGCTCTGAGCTGTCAGCACAGAGCCCGACAAGAGGCTCAAACTCATCAATCATGAGATCATGACCTGAGCCAAAGGCAGATGCTTAACTGACTGAGCTACCCAAGCGCCCCCTGATTAATTCCTTTTAAACTTTTAGATGAATTTTGTCCATGAAATTAGATGTGGAGAATTATTTACGAGCAAACACCTTCCTTAGTTTGTTTATTTTTCTTGACCAGTCTGTAATCATGGGAAGTATATAAGTGTCTAGGTAAAACTTACATGAAGTCTGAATAGATTTGTATATTTTTTTATTCTAGAAGTTTTTTTGCTAACCTTCCAGATCTGTAGTAATTCAACTTAAATCTAGTCTTTATCACTAGTTTTCTTTCTTGAAAGATACTGTTTACAGTGGATTATTTCTAGTTTTCCCATCATCTGCACTGTCAATACAACTATAACCTGTTCTAAAATCTTCTCTGAAATATATTTATCCCTGCTTCAAATACTTTTAGAAAAACAGCTGATAGGTAGTGAAAGATATAAACAATCCAAACATTATTTTGCCATATTTCCTTCTAATATTTTTTATAATTATTTTTTAATAGTTTGAGAATATTATATTTTGTGCCCAGTTTTATTTACTTAACATTTCATCTTTGGTTTTTTTCCCTATATTACCTTCCAAAAATCGCTATTTTCAGATGTCACATTTTTATTGTTACTATGAAGAAGAAAAATACAAACATTTTTAAAAAATGGATTTATTTTAACAAAGTGGCTATTTCCTGAAAACC